CCATGATGGGGGGGGGAAGCTCCAGGCGATGCACGTCAAAAGGGGAAAGAGCCTGTTTCTCACATTACTCAGGAATAGACCCAAGGCTAACCACCGTTTTCTCATCCTCCACCCCTGGCCACCCTCTGGCTGACTCAGCCCGTTGCACGTTCTCATGTTAAATTTTGCATTTGTACCTTGGGAAATGCTCCTTCCCCATATTGGATTTTGCAAGGTTCTATTTAAAACGGTGGTTAAGCACACAGGCAATGGCAGAGAGAAGAAAGACACCACAGTATTCCGCCCCAGATGAGCTCCTTTCTGTACCGCATCCCAATTGGAATATTTGCTTTTTGTTCTTCATATTACAGCCTGCCACAACCATCCTTTTGCATAATCTCTTCTGCCTTCGCTAATCAGCATTCCCACGCTTTCCCTCTCACAGATTTCCCACATCTTATCACTGCCACTAAGGACTAGAAACTTGGTGTTTTTTTCTCCCTTTAAAACAGAATTTCCGGAACATTAATTCCCACGCTGAATTCTGCATTTTTAGGCTAGGAATCGGCGCCCGTGCAGCACCGCCACGTAGACACAATCCAGCCCCAGATCTCACAATCACTCCGAGGAGCGTCTGAGTCACCAGCTGACCATCTCCGACGCACCCTAACCTATCGGAAGCCTTGCGTCCCCCCGGGTCTCCCGAAGCGCATCTCTCCCTAGCCGCAGCCGCATTAATATTCATGCGACGACTCTCCGGAAGCGTTTGACCTTGTGTGTTGTGTGACTCTCCTTGAATGGAACAGTCATTTACACACTGACACTTGTCACAGGTCGTCTCAATGGGCTCCCTGGAGCCTCAGGGAGGAAAGGCAGCGATGACAAGTGATGGCTGACAGATCAAATACAATGCTTGGAAATTACGCTCATGTTGCGGTAATGGAGCTGCCGGCAGAGGGGCAGGGAGCCTGGCTGGCAGGGCGCTGTGCAGCCGGGGCCAGGGGGCGGAGAAGAGGAGGGCGTTCACCCAGCGCACGAAATTGGGGCGAAGAGCGTATTGCTTGGGCCCTGCCAAGCGAGGGAGCCCTTGTCGGGCTTCACGGGGCGGCCTGATCCGGTTCCCTGCTGGGCCATGCCCGTGGATGCAGAAGGGGCCATGCGCCCCGTTGCTGCTGGTCAGCGGGCTGGACAGAGCAGGCAGCGTGTGGCCGGCCTTCCCCAACCTGTTTCCGGTTGGAGAAGGTGAGCCCGGGCAGAGAGCAGAAGCCCTGCCAGCTGCTGCCACCTGGAAGTTCATCCGAGCTCACTTTGGGCCGGCGTTCGGCAGCTGGCAAGGAACAACAGCAAAGACTCCCTTCCTTTCTGGCCCTTGAAGGTAGACTGCCTTTGAGCATGGAGCTCCATCTGGAGCTATTTGGGCTCAATGCCTTTCCAAGCCTTCTTCTCTTCTGCAAATTAGTCTTTGCTTTCTCCCGCCACCCCCACCCCCTCGTTTTGTGGGTTTCTTCACAAAAAGAGAGTCATCTCAACTAACGGCCACTACACCTTGTGGGGAAAAATTCCGTGCGTTGATGGCCGCGACACGAAGCCCTGGTTTGGCCGTCCTGGGCCTCCTGCCTGCCAATCAGTTTAATTGGATGACCGGCAAGCACTGGAGCAGAGCGAGAGGGCTGCTGGGCCGGAGAGCGGCGGGGGGGCCTTTCGTTTCGCCCTTCCAAACTACCGGGGGCTTTTCACGCTCCGCTGGTGCTTCTGCTGAGCTGGTGACGGGCTCCCGGGGACGCCTTTGGGCTCCGGAGCAGCCTCACCGTGCACCGGAGCCTCCCCACTGCCCTCCCTCCGGGGCTGCAGATGCCCCACGCGATTACCCCTTGGTAGCCGTGCCGTGCTCGACTCCACCAAAGGTCCAGACTTCACCCAACAGCTTCAACCTGGACTAAATGGCCTGTGCTGGGTTCCCCCAGTGCTCAAAGTTAAAAGGGGGGGAGTTCTGTTAAAGGTTAAAAGGGGGGGGGCTTGTTTGTGTGACTGATGGTGCCATGCAGACCCAGGTCCACGTCCTTGGGAGTTCTGTGACCTGCAGCTCATCGCCCCCTTTCCCCCCACCCAGAAAGGCTGACCCGGGACAAAACTCTGGGCCAGGCAGTGCTTCTTGGCCCCTGATGCCACGGTACCTCCAGACAGGGCTACTTTTCCACCTGGCAGCCCCAGCTGCCCCAGCCATCGCTAAGGGAGGCCAAGAGCAGCAGCCCAGCTCATCTGGGAGCCCCCCACCCCACCTAGGCAGGGGTGGGTTCTCCATCTCTAGGAGAGCTGAGAGCCCCTCTCGTGCAGGGGTGGATCTGCTCCCTGCACACAGCAGAGGGCTGGGCTCGATGCCCCACGCCACCCCCCTAGGATTCCTCCCCCCCCCGTGCTCAGGGTCCTCTTTCTTGCCCCATCGCAGGGAGGCTCGGAGGAGAGGAGCAGAGCGCCCTTGTTCTGTGATCGCACCCCGATTCTAGAACACCTTCCCAAAGGAGGCTACCAAGCCTTAGCTGGGGGCGAGAAAAGGTGCTGAGTTACTGTCCTAAATATACGCATTTGGCCTCCTCCAACACGCTGGTCCCTCAGGAAGGTCAGGACTACAGTCCCCATCCTGCAGTACATCCAATCCGGTACAGTACTCATGGAGAGAGGTGCAGGATCGCTCTCTGCTCCGAATATGCTCCCGAGGCTTTGGACTACAACTCCCACACTCGCTGGAGCACTCGAGCAAATGACTGCAGAAATGGGGGGGGATGTTCTTGCTGCATAGGAGGAAGAGCGCGCCACCCTCCC